TAACCCAACGCAAGAGGAAAAAATTACATTCTTTTTTTACACATGTATTTCATGGACTCTTACGATCTTCCTGGTCATGATATCAGTCCCTGGCTTATCTGGAATCCTAACATGAAGCGGTGCTCCCTAAGTTAGTCTGTTCCTCCTCTAAACTAGTGATGCTTTGTGACCCCGCTAGTCAGCAGGTTGCACTGCGTTCGCAGTGGCCAGTGCAGGAGCAGTAGACACCTGGAAGCGTGTCTTGGGAGTAACCAGGCCAGAGCTGCCCAGGCCAGACCCCGGGAACCTTAGCCTGCAGCTGTGCGGGAGAACAGCCCGTGCTGCACACACACATACATACATACATACAACACACACACATACATACATACAACACACACACATATGTGCGCACACACACATAGGCGCGCATTCACAAATACACACTAAGGGTCTACTTTCTCGATGGTCTTAGTGGACCTTTGGCTGTATTTGAGGACATCTGAACAGACCATCTAAGGCCATGTTTCACTCCTTATGTTCAGTATAAACCACCCTCATCTGGAGAGAACTTAGTAATAGACAAATGCTCATAAGTAACAACAACTGTGATAATGAATTAGTATTATGCTTCGTTTTATTATAACCTAGCATTCCACTATTTACCTTCTGTCTTTTACGAACATAGACTTCCTTATAAGAAAAAGATTGTGGAAAATGCTGTAAGAATGATGTAAATTTGCCCTTAAGTATTACTTTGATTTAAGAATGGCAAATTTAAGGCCTTCATAATGTGTCTGTGTTAACTGCACAGAATCCGTGATTTAATACTTGTTGGCTAAGACATATTTACATAGCACCTTTTCCTAAGTGTTTAATGTTTAGGATTTAGTGATAGAAATACCTAGTTTGTGACAGCTTAAAAGGCAGTGATAACAGCCACTAATGTTACACGACACGAGATGACAGAGGAGAGCGAACAGAAGTTCTCTGTTTTGTACGGAAGAAATTAAACCTCTGGGGGCCTGAAGCTAACTGGGACCCCCCCCCCCAACTCACATGCTGACATATGAGTATATGCTGATGGCTATATTTTGCTCATTGTGCAAATGTTACTTGGACAAGTACAAACGATTCCCAGCCTGCATATATGCCTGTGCTGTACTTTACATAGATGTGTTGTGTTTGCCTCTGCATTCATTATAGTTATTTAATTGGGAGGGTTGCCTCTTGGTGCTGGTCACGGGGGTCCGGGTGGCGGGCTCGATCTGCTCTGAGCAGAGCTAGGTATTACAGGAGAAAACCCGATTACGGGGGGGATGTGAATTAGATTTGGTAACAGATGGCGGTGTTGAAATTTTAAGATGCTTCGCGGTGAAATGCGGCGGCAGGTTGATGCGGCTCCTCGGGGCTGACGGACGCGTATAAATCACAGCCGTCGCCGCCTGACAGCCAATTTCCAGGATCTGATCTGGTTAAAGACACGGCTTTCCCGCTTCACTCTCGCCACACAACAGTGTCTTTTTCTTTTGCTCTTTTTTTTCCAGAAGCTTGTGCTTCCCTCGAAGGCAAAAACACATCTCGTATCCGTTTAATAAAACGTGTTGTTAATCCACACTTTCCCATTATCCGGTATTAATTTAATCAGAAACGCGACTCCTTCGCCTCCCCCTGTGGTCCTGCTTCGTCCTCCACCGTGTTCTTTTCCACTTGCTGCTTACGGGGTCGCGCTTAATCCTCTTTTTTGTTTCACCGGGGAAAGCTGCTGACCGGAGACTGCCTTCGATAGCTCTGTATTATCTCCGCAAATTTTATTCATGCTCCAGATCCCAGCAGTTCATTTTCGCCATTGTTTTGTTTACTCTAACTAGAATTAATCACTGGGTTATTTGCTTAGCGTCCCTACAGCAGGTTTCTTGTTGTTTGACATTATTGTGCCAACATGTTGCCACCCAGAAAAAAAAACTAATATAATGATGCAGTTTTATGGTTACCGTATTCGCCATGCATGTGCATGCATCACCAGCGCCTTCTGAGAGCTTCCGGCGCACTTTTAAAGTCCCGGTTTCTCCAGCTGTGCGCTTAATCTCCACAAGCCTCATTAGAATCAGTAGTATTAAAACTGCAAAATAAAACGGCATTCTAAAAAAAAAAATCTCATTCAGTGTATTTCTTCATATCTCTTAATTGATCACGGCAGTCATAGGCTGCTTCGAGTACTAATGGGAAGTTTGTGGATGCAGGTGTCCCCCCCCACCTGCACAGGGGATATTCCCCCATTCCCACTGTCCGCCTGCGTTTCTGCCCCCGATGCATCGATTTTCGTGTAATCGCAGGCGCTCTTTTACAGGCATCCATCAGCACTGAAGTGATTTATGAATTTCTCGCCCGGCGACGTCGCAGCGATTGATTTCATCCCACCGCTGGAATGGAATTTAGATGTAATTTTAGATGCGGAAACAACTGCAATGATTCAGCAGCTAATCTGCGTTTGGGGGTAGGGGGGAGCTAGACTGGGATTGTCCGATCTCACGGAAGAGGGCAAGTCATGAAAAAATTCCTTCAGTGTTTTGCATATGGTTGTATGTTTTTTTAAGACAGTCTTGGTCCTGTTAGTGGCCACGATTTAATATATGGCTAGCACTTGTCGTCGGACCGAATCATGGGACGCTAACAGAGGTTTTTTAATCGTCAAAAGTATGATTTTCTTTAAGATGGGTTTTTTTTCTATTTTCCGTCATGCCATGCTGCTATATTTATTATAAAGAAAAATATGTTTATGGATGTCACAATATCTTATCATTCAACATTCAAGCTGAGAATCATTAAATCTTTACGGTATTTTTAAACCTTAAATTTAAAATTAAATTTCAAGAAATGAATGTTTCCTGTCACCTAAACTACTTGGAATATGTATAACTATGGTTATATGGATTGTTGGACTTTTCAGATATCTGAGGAATATCACGATAAAAGATTGTAATTCATAGAAAATTACATAGCAATTTGGAAGAACAAACTTTGTGTGACTTAAGTTCATAAATGATTAATTGGTAAGCAGGAAAGAGGATGTCAACATACTCTGAATCACTTGAAGAGGCTTGCCTAATAATAGATACTATCTAGATTTGGCACAGACTTTGCCAAACAGTTTATGGAGTAACCTAAAGTATTTGGGCAAATTGGTTGTAAATAAGACCAAATTTTAAAAAATAATTTCTTTATGTTGAACACGATGCAGCTACGGATCAGACTCAGAGAAGCTAAATCTTGTTTTCATTGACTTACCATGATTCCAAAGACAAAGAAGATATGTTAATTACAGGTCCCATTAATGAAGACTCACTTGGGAACCTGTGAAAGATCGAGGTTCATGTATCGGTTCGACCAGATTGACAAAAGCAGAATTAACCTAATTTGTCAGACGTGTGTTTATCTCCGTGCTGTATTTGAGTTTGATTTTGCTGGATTGCTGTCTAAGATCGTGACAGATCTCCATGCCTAGTGTGCGCCGATCACCTTCTTGTTGACCAGCTCGATATCGACAGGCTGAAGCCTGATGACCTCGATCTCTGCGCCTGTTCACTCTTGGTTTTATAGCTTCTCTTCGCGATAGTTTGAGTTGCTCCTCCAAACACCACAAAGCCACCTCTGTGGTTTATTAAAGTTTTCAATCTCGTTTTTTAGCCTGTTATGGGCCTTCACCGTGGATTCGTTTGTTTTATATATAACATGCTTTTCAGCAAGAAAGATGACACAATTTTGAACGTCAGCACATGACATCATGTAAAGGAGTGATATGTCAGCAACATGAGTCAATGCAAGTCAACAAACGATCATTTATGGGCCGGAGTACCATTTCATTCATAGTTGGGAGGTTCACAGGTCACTGATTCTTCCTGTCACCTGCAAGTCAGTCCAAGCCAATGACATTACAATACTGTACCTTTTTCTGCTCCCAAAAGCCAATTATTCCACAGAATGACTTGGGTGTGTAATTTATATTAGTATTAATTTAAGTATTATTCCTTGCTACACTATAAATATGCGCAGAGCTGATCCCTCGAACAAGGTGACATCTGTATTTTAAACACGTAAATGTACAGTGAGAAAACGCGGCTCTGAAACAATCACGATGTGCTCTTAATTATCTGGCCTTTAAGCAGTGATCTGGTTCAGGAGGTCGTGGGTTCCCTGTCTGCCATCGGGGCTTCCCTAGCAGTGGTTCCTTCTCCTCCTGCAGCTTCAATCGCATGGAAAACACAGCCACCCAGGCGCTTCAGGAAGGCTCCTGGGACACAACGGCATTTTAATGGTGACAGATAAATAGATCACCGCTCACTGCGACGTGAGCTATCTCCGCGGTTATGGAAAGGGGGGAGGGACCCATGGATTCACATTCTGTTTCCATGTCTCCCCGGTTCGTCCTTCCTCGCACATTTGAAGTAGAGACATTTTATTTCACGGCTTCAGTGATGGGCAGTTTTGACGTCCGGCAGTGTGTGGCGGACGGGATAAGATTGGCCGGCGAGGGGCTGCAGCCCGGCGCGGGGGCTAAACAGCAGCTGATCCGGCACTAGCGCGATGGAGTTTGTAGTGAAAATAGAAAGGACGTGGGCTCCGTGCCATGTGAAAAGTAATACCCACGGCTTTTATAAAAGGTCCTTGTTGTCTCTGCCGGGCACCAAGCCACACAAAAAGGTAACGAGACTGACAAGTGGCTTATTTTGGATGGATGGTTTTCATGACAAGGGTCTCTGGGAATTTGCACCCCGGGACATTTACACCTGGTGTTTGCCTGGGATCTGACAGGGATCTCTCACTGCATTGACGATGTGCTGGGGTACATGTGCATCGTCACCAAAGAGGGCTGTCAAAGACGACGTAGACGTCCAGACGTGCTAGTGGTCTACATCAGCTCTCATCTGTCTGATGTTATTCAGCGACACCTCGATAAAGAGATTGTTGGATTATTACTGTTTAATTTTAAATTTGGATCTGCTTTTCCTCTACTTCCCCAGGCTGCTCTGCAGGATGTCAAGCAAGGAACGGCGCATCGAGTCCAGTTGCCCCTCCTACATCAAGACCGAGCCCTCCAGTCCCGCCTCCCTGGCAGACAGCATCAACCACCACAGCCCCGGGGGCTGCTCAGATGCCAGCGGAAGCTACAGCTCCACCATGAATGGGCACCAGAACGGCCTGGACTCTCCCACGCTGTACGGGCCGGCGGGCGGCTTGGGCCCCAACGGCGCTTCCGGCAAGCGCTATGAGGACTGTTCCAGCACCATCGCCGAGGACTCGCAGATCAAGTGCGAGTACATGCTCAACTCAATGCCCAAGAGGCTGTGCTTGGTGTGCGGCGACATTGCGTCCGGCTATCACTACGGCGTGGCCTCCTGTGAGGCCTGCAAGGCCTTCTTCAAGAGGACCATCCAAGGTGGGCTCTCACTCTCCTGCAGGGGAATGGTCGAGGGAGGGGGTACATCCATTCTCTGGCATTGTACAGTCCATCAACTGAAGACCACAAGTCTTTCATAATGGGGATCTGTAGCCAGGCCTATGGGAAGCCCTAGGCATACTTCACTACCAGCGCCCCCCCCACCTCCCCCGGCAAACTTTTCTGCCTGGTTTATCTTAGTCTCAGATGGTGTACTGGTGACTTGCTAAGTCAACCCAGAAGATGGCTCCTCAGGCAACTGCCTATGTCTTCAAATGCAATGTTTCTCAAACCAGGCCTCGGAGACCCCCAGATGGTCCACATTTTTGCTCCCTCCCAACTCCCTGGGAGTTGGGAGGGAGCAAAAACATGCATTGGTTTGAGAAACACTGGCCTATTGAGTCGACTGGCACTGTCCGTAGCATTAGGACTTGGCTCTTATGCATCTTCAGATTCAATCTACAGCCACTTCTTGAATGTTGGACCACTGGAGTGAGCCGCGCACACCTAGACATGCTAATGTTAATGCGGGTCCCGCCCTTTCAGAGCTGACATATTGGGGTGTACCATCCCATTAGATAACGAAAGTGCTGGTAATTAGTGGGGGGAAAAAGGCGATCTGCAGGTGGCTGTGCGTTGGTTCCTAGGTCAAATGAGTTTGTGGGGACCAGGGGAGAAAACTTTGGGACCTGCACCCCATAGGATCATGGGGACTGAGGAAGGACATCTCAAAGATGACTTCATCAACGAAGCAAAGAAAGTTGGTTTTCAAAAAAAGAAAAAAAGAAAAACGTACCCCAGACCAGAAGTGCATGGCGAGCAGAAATTATGCTTTTTATTTACTGGTCAGCCTTTCATGATCCGTCTTTTTAGTTGTCAACAGTTAATCAGTGTGATAAGCTTAACAAAGCAACAATTCCCAATTTACAGTGTAATATTTATAAATTCAACATTAAATGTTATCCTTTTCAGCTTTCCCTGAGGCCTTGGAAGCACGAAGGGTAACAAAACAAAATGAATTTGCTGATTCTGACGACAGGAAATCCAAAGATGACTCGGATTGCTGTAGACCTTGCGACTTGATTTTGCTAGTGTTCCATGAAATCACGTTTTTTTCTGATGCGAGTAAGCACTCTTCAGAATTAATATGGCAGGATATCACGGCCGGTTAAAATACCCCTAGAATTCCCAGCTCCTTCTCGTGGCATCCCACATCAAATGAAGACGCCGGGCCCTTATAACGCGAAAGCCCCCGGCGCCTCGAGGAGATTACCCCGCTAATGAAGATCGGACCCCCGTTTAAGGGACATGCATAATTAAAATATTGTTTCGTGCTGAATTAGCGGGCTTTAGTGGCCGGCCTCCCCACGTTCCCGTTAATCTGCCTCTTTAATGAGGAGACATTGGCGCGCGGAGGGGAAGTCAATACGGATCAGTGTTTACAGAGTCTGATTAACTGTGAAATATTGCATCGGCACGTGGGCCCAAGGCAGGCCCCACTTTTAATTGCGTGGGTCGGGGGCTGTATCTCAAAGGCCCCCCGAAAGCCAAAGAGAAATACCAGCAAAGAAGATTTATTCATTATCCATGCCATCCCCCACCCCCCCCTGTTTCCTGCTATATTGTAAACTAGCAATGGCATTAGTTAGCCTAAATGGAGGTCTTCTGCGAGAGGTCAGCTTTCATTTTCTTTTATTTTGATTACGTCCTGCATCAATCCATTAAAACATTTGTGATGTTCGTAAAAGAATTTCAGATACGCTCAGAATAACAAAAGGACCTGAACGCTTTTCCCACAAGGTCATGTTTCCCTCGCTTCGCGCATTTAAATTCCTCGGCGACGTAGCTGGACGTCTCCTTTCCCGATGCCTCTGCTGGGTTAATTGACTTTGGCATCCAAAGTTCAGTTATCAGATTATAACTTAACCTCCAACAAGCTGTTCTTTCTGTCTCTGGGAAGGTCTCAGGATGACTGTTTGGATGAACGTGGTAAAATTAAGATGGACCCGCCAATCAGGAATCGGGAATTTTTTGGATGTTAACTCACAGGGAAGCGTCGTAAGGCGTAATTCACATTTCTTAAGAAAACTTTAGCAGCGCACTATAATTGCCATATTCTCGTATAATCAAATACCATAAGACTTTAAACTTCCCCAGTATTGGTTTTCAGATCTTTTTGAAATTATTATCTGTCAAGTGGTTTATTGTATGTTCCAACCTTAATTTGATCTTCACCTAAAATCTTTAGTTGGAGTTAGATCTTTCTGGAAGCGTTGAGAGACGCACACAAAATAATTAAGGAAGGAGATTAATCACCACATGGTGAATCCAATGCCTGACTTGTCAGCTGTGAGTCACGGATGCCTCCCCCCCCCTCAACTAACCTAAATAAAGTATGACCACAAAAAAAACACAAATCTGGGGTCCTTTCTCTTGACGTGTCTCTTGCCACAGGAAACATCGAGTACAGCTGCCCTGCCACCAACGAGTGTGAGATCACCAAACGCCGGCGGAAGTCCTGTCAGGCGTGCCGCTTTATGAAGTGTCTGACTGTGGGCATGATGCGAGAAGGTAAGACGCAGCCTGCCGCCGCCTCGCCGTCCATGTCACGCTCACCACCTCCTCATCATGTGCTTCTGTCTGGAAGGACAAACTTGAAAAATCCTGGAGAAAGCTCAGAGCTTTCTAGGACATAAAATCAGACCAGGAATGGTAGGGGAAGCTGGTGGACAGCTTTTGTAGAATTTTCTGGAGTGAAAAAGGCCAACAGGAGCCATACCATATACCCCAGTCATCTCCAGTACGGTTTGAGTGCTGGGATTCCCCAACCAGATGCTCCTAAAGGAAGCCTCCATGTCCCCACAATGTTACATGCGACATATCAGGGATGATTAAACCGGCACAATAACCACGACTCTGCTGCTTGTGCAGCCCTTCCCGCCCTCCCTTTGCTGTTTCCCAGAATAACAGTTTCCGTCGTGACCTTGCGTTCCTGGTGCCAGGAGAGACGAGCGGAGCAGGCTCTGTTAGTATTTGGCCGGGATGTGCCGGTCACGACAGGGAGCATGTCAGTGACAGGCCTCGTCGTCTTGCGGAACCATCCTCTTGCTACCCTTGCTTACTTCCTGCTTCCTCTTCTGTTTCCTCCCTCTGAGTTGCTCTTCGGGTTGATAACAGCGTTTCCACAACAAAACTCTCCCTCCCTCCCTCCCTCCAGCCAGGTGGATGCAGACCTCTCAGGTCACGATAGATTAGATGAAACTGCCGCAGCTGGGGCCAAACTGTAAACGGAAAAAACAGCCAGCTTGTGTGTGTGTGTGTGGGTTAGGGCATCTTTGTGGGAACACATTTTGAGAAAAATCTTCCCACAAAGATAGTAATCCCTGGACAAAACAGAAGCTTTCTGAGGATTGTCCCACAAAACATACACATTATATTACATTCTTTTTAAACTAAAAAGTCATTTACTTCTTTGCTTTTGAGTTTGGATATAATGTTTGGTGTGGTTTTGCACAAAAATGAGCTGCGGTAAAGCCTCACAAAGGCATTAACGTGAATGTGTGCGTGTATATGTGTAGCTATCTTCTGGAAACAAGTTCGACCATCTTGAGAGCATGCTGACACTCAGCACAAAAATGTATGAGAATTAACAGCAAAGAAGCCTCGAGCTACCTTCAGGAAACTGAATATCAGGTATGCGTGTCACGGATCAGCATGCGGGCTCCTCACGTGTGATTTAGCTGTGCGTCTGCTAGTGTGACAAGCCGCCAACTGACCAGGGGGGGGTTAGGGCAGCACCTCGTCCCCAGAGCTCCCAGACAAATGGAAGCCCTTTGTTCCTGTTCGGAGCAGACGGTACACACATACATCATCACGGAGCTGCCATTTGTCGCCAAGCTTTGGAATTTAATAGAGATGTCCAGTCAGGCTCGTGAGTGCGCGGTATTCCATAAATGGATTCATTCATTCCCCCCTGTTCTTTAATGCTGATGGTCTCTCCTAATAAAAAGAGAGGTCGTCACTATGGTTTAACCTTCAGAATGGCTATTTTGAAGCGTCCATATTCGGGCCTCACTAGCCTAGCCTGAAGGACGGGCGCGCTTACGTCCCCACTGGAGGACATTCGGGGGATGTTAGTCAGCCACGCGCTGCATCAGGCAGAGTCGGCTTCATTGTCGAGGTTTGTTAATTACGGCCACGTCGCCATGGGTTCTGCGGGCGCTAACTCGCATTGACGGCAACGGTGCTGAACGCACGCATCGTTACGCTGCTGGGGGGCGGCCATCTTGCGGCTCGATATGTGAGTGTATCAGCCCCTTATCCTCAGGGAGTGCTTTAATAATGTGCAGATGAATTTAGATCCATCTGTTGCCTGTTGCCCCCCCGCCCGCCAGCCCCGCACACACATATATACCAGCACATCTGAATTTGCGCTGCTTCAGGTTGCCGGTGGGGTAACAGCGGACTAAAACATGATGACATCACCAATGGGTTTCATCACTTCCTGCCCCCCCCCTCCGGATTTCTCCGCTAGCTGACTGACCCTTGACAATCCGTCATGCACAGACGAAGACACACTCCACTGCAAACACGATGGTCAGATGTTACACGGACCCCCGGCTCGTGACTCCCTTCTTCCGCCTTGGGGGGAAAGTCGCTCGGCATCCTCGTGTTTGGGGCCACCCAGCTGTAAAATCTCATAAGACGGGGCCCAAGCGGGGGACCAGCAGCTGCCTGGGAGGGGCCAGCTTACCCCGATGCCAAGCCTTCCTGTGGAGAAACCTACCCCCATCGTCTTATGGAACGCCCACTTTCATGCCGGTCCCCTCAATGTGATCTAACGGCAAAATGGATTTGCCGAGTTTTACATCTGCCATTATGTTTACTGCACCGTTTATTTTGTCTGATAAACACATTTGGGGATTCAGCCATCAGTGACAAGCTTGCATAAATTCACACTGTTTAAACACTTGTAAATTCACGCCTTTGTAGATTTACACTGTTTAACTAAAACTTGATTGTGTGCAACGTAAATAGTGCTTAAGTGCCAGGAAATCATGATTCGTCTTTGGACTGTGACACAGATCATCAGGATGTTGTCAAACGTTGGGAAAGATCGTTCTGGATCTGGGATTTTCCCAAGGAGAGTCCAGTGTAGTTCTACGATCTTTCCTTCAGAGGGAAGAATCATAAAAATGTAAGAAGACAAGGTTGTAAAGGTCAGCGATTTCTCACGTCTGTTGGCTTGGTAGGGCAGAAGTGATTTGTCTAATGGTGTGGTGCTGATGTCTGATTCCATATGGGATCGAACTCAAAAGTCCACATCCGAACTCCTTTGTTCATGCCATCGTAACCTCCAGTCCACGAGTACAAGCAAGGTCTGGGAAAATGCACCTTTGCGAACGCCGTGTGGAGAACGTGGAGCTGCAAGCGCGCAGTCATCCCAGTAAAAGGGTATCACTCTGACAAATAAATAATGCAGCAGTTTTATGGAAGGGGGCTATGAGGCTTCTACCCTTATCAGCACTTCTCAGACTAGTAAATTCCTAGAGGGAAGAGGAGGCGAGGAAGACTTCCAGCTCAATGTAAAGGCAGTGGGCATCAAAATACAAGGGGCTTCCAATATAGCAAAGCTGGCTTTTGCGTTGTTCAGCAGAGAAAAACCAGCTGTTGCAGTGGTTAAAGTGTCTTTTGGTAAGACTGCAGGGATATACCCAGCCACAGAAATGGATAAAAAAAGGTTAAGTCTTTTTAGATAAAAACATTTAGTTGAAGAACTCTACGCAACTACAGTGTTAAATTAGTAAAGGCAGTTCATACTGTACACATTGGCATGACATCCAAGCCTCGAACATCAACGAACTGACTTAAACAGAAGAGCGGAGCGCCTAACTTTAAATATCGATTCAAAGCTGGATCCTTTCCTATTAGCCTGCAGGAGAAAATGAAAAAGAAAGGCTTCCGGTGGGGGCGGGGGGGGGATTTGCCGTTTGTAGCATCTGCGGCTTACAGATGCTCTCACCTTGTCTCGCCTAATCCCCAGTGAAGGTAACTGAAGCGGTACAGTTACGGTGTGTGGGATGAAGCCAGAGGCCCTGATGAAGATGACCACAGGGACTCTGCTGAGAGTGACTCTCTGGGGAGGAGTGACTCGCCTGAATGGGAGACGTGCTCTGCTTTCGGTTGCCTCTGCCTCGGACACGCACACACATACACACACACACACACATACCATAACGTTAGAGTGCTGGGGGCATGAAACACACAGACGGAGGTGGGGTCCGATTTACTTTCTCCCTGGCTTCCTCTTCCTCACACACACACACTCATACACACACACACAGACGTATTCACGCCTGCGTCAACCCCCCCCCCACGCTCTCCTCTCCTCAGATGCTCCCCCACTGCCTCTGACAGGGAGCATAAATCATGCCGCTGTCGAGAGAGAGCCAAGGCCTGCTGGATCACGCTCCACCACTGTTTGTCTGAAGCCGCACGCGGAACCGGAACGGGTGCGAGGCGCACGCGGGATCAGCAGACTGTGCCCGCCGCCCGCTCGTCCGCGTCCCGTCCCCCCCCCCCGGATCTAAATTAGAGAGACCCCGTCTTTACAGAAACTCTCTGGAGGACAGTATGGCCGAGCGGCACCCATTTTTTTCTCTGTTGCCCTAGTTTATTCCCAGAAATACTGGAGAAAGTGAGTGGCTGTGAAGCAGACAGCAGCCACGCTGTAAATAGACCGTGGATCTAAGAGATTCGCACAGGTTCTGTATAGAGCGGCTTTACGTTTCGTCGGTGCGGCTCAATCTTGTCAAGTACGCCGCTAAATAATTCTGAAATCCGTATGGATGACCTGTCAGCATTGCCAAAGAAACAAAAAGTATATATATCTCTTAAGAAAGCTTAAGTCTGCCAGCACCCTCTTATAAATGATACCTATATTTGATGTAGGAGCAGCAGCGTGCAGAATGACGCGGTCAATCCCCCTGTCAGAAGGCCTCTGTGATCTGCTCCTCAGCCCAGGGTCACGGTGTGGGTCATGTGACCATGTTCTCCATTCTGTGCAGGACTGCCCTTTTGACTTCACCCACAATAATATGTGTAATTGGGGCTGGAGTGGACAAATGCTCTGCTGAATGCTCTTCACTTTGACACATTGGTGCTGTGGTGCCCCTCATCCCCCACACTAGCAAATAGGCGGGGGGGCCTAGCCTCCATCTTGGAGCCTGTGACGTCTTCAGCTGTTGCAGTGCCCAGATGGGGGTGGTCTGGTTCCTTGTGTGGCTGGAGAGGTGGTCGCCCTGCTCTGTCTCGACTGATTTTGGGGAACCGCAGGCTGTCACATATTGAAACCAGCCCCCCCAGAACACCTCCATACAAGAGCACTTCCGTGCATGAGGTCACCATATCGGATCTCCCGGGTTTCCATTGGCTGGCATAATTTGCCTTTTCCACCAATCAGCTGATCCCCAAATTAACCAATGGATTCTGGGAAATGTATATTTTTTAATCAATATCTTTCCCTAAAAGCATGGGATAGTTTTATGCTGCCATTGCTGGAGGTGTGGAAG